TGTTGAGATCTTAATGCTTGAAGACTCTGACGCCAAGAGCTTCATGATCTGAGAGGTTCCTTATCTTGACAGGATCCAGGAATCTCGGAAGATCACACCTTAGACTAGGTACCCCTTCCCAAAAGCCATGGAAGTTTGAGGGACTAGTTAAGCCATTTATTTGAAATCTGTTTTCCTTGCCTTTCGACCTCTCTTTCCACCAAAAGCCATGGGTTTGGAGGAGAGGATGAAAGAGTGATCTATACCGAAAGCCACGGATAGATCTTGTTTTGTTTTCAAGGCTTAGAGATACTCACCAAGTGAGTCGATCTAAAGTTTCAAACCCAAGGTCGAACCTTTGAAGCCCCTAACCATGAATCTCAACCCTAGGCCCTTTCTTTTAGCATCTTTACGTCTATTCTCATCTTCCGCTTGATATCTGATAGCATCCTGGTCATTAGCTTTACTGTTCTTACGATTTTAGACGAGATCGATTGTTACTGCTCGATCTAGTGGTCGATCTCGTGGTCGATCCACTAGTCGAATTTTAATAATTCGAAGCTCTTTCCTTTAATTAATCCGTTTGTTTCTCGTGGTAGTTGCTTCCTTTCTAGTATTTTTAAAATAGGTTTCATTCTGTTTAGGTTGCTGCATCTAGTTCTTAGATATTTTCTCATAAACTTTCTCATTTTGCTTAGATTTGCTTTAGTCCTTGCATTCTCTGTGCATTCTCTATCTCCTAGAAGTGGATTGACTCTCTCTTGCTTGCTATACTACGACATTGCTTGCATTAGAGTTTGATAACCTCTCTGCATCATAAACCCGAGCTTAGAAAATGTTTATCACTGAAGTTGAACAAACATGAATTGAATTCTTTCCTATCAAGTGGAACCTTAACTTGAATTTTGAATTATCATACTTGTGCTTTTGAGAAAGAATACATGGATTACATATACATATTTAGGCTTTCTTATCCCTTTCACCACTCTTTTGTAAGCCTGAATAGAACTCCTCACCTTAACCCTTACCCTCCTTTCAAGCCAAATATTTCGTGTATGATTTGTGAGGCCTTTAATTTTCGGTTGAACTTGGCATAAAGTGTTAGGTTTAGGCGACATGATTAGGCTCTCATATTTATGCTAGCTTTGCATATTGATGCTAGTTTTAGGCTTAAGTTTGGGGGTGGGGATTCATGGGTGTTGATTGATTATGCTTACTTATTTCGGTTTGAAAAGAATTGGTGTTTGGGGTTTGAACAAAAAGGATTCATAGTTTTAAGTGGTTGGTCTTGGTTTTAAATAAAAGCTCTAGTTGAAAAGAAAAGAAGATAGCTCTCAAAAAAAAAAGAGCCAAAATGCCAAGTAAAAAAGAAAAAAAATACGTGAAGAGAGCTATCAAAAGAAAAGAAAAGAGCTAAGTATATATATGGCCATACCACTAGCTATAAGAAGGTTTGAATGATGTGTTTATTTGGGTTATGCTAGGCGTCTTGCCTTGTTGTTTTGGGTAGTCTCTAGGGGGTGAGTTAGCTTGAAAAAAAAAGAAAATGAATGAGAGAGGGATTAGGATCATTGTTAGTGTATATGGGTAGATGAGAGTCTAGTCATGTATGCATCAATTGCCTTTACCTTTAGCATTATGCATAAGTTCAACCCTTTTTGAGATAAACCATTGCTTGAATTACCCTCATGAATGAGATCCTTTTTATCTCATGACCTTGTCCCTATCCAAATGTATTCGGTTTTAAATGCATAAGTGTGATTCACGGTGTGATCTTAATTGAATGTTAAAGGTTAGGATTCTTGGATTGTTTGGAATAGGAGAGTCATGATTTGAGATTCAATATGTGATGAATATGGCCTAGTTTTTTGGAGTAGGAGTTTGTGTACTGCATTTTAGAATTGAGAACTAGGATCGTTGAATTGATTCATTTGCTTAAACATTTTTGGAAATTTGAGCTCCCATTTTAAACCTCTCTTCCTAGCTTGAATTTTGTTGGCTTGAGGGCAAGCAAAAGGCAAGTTTGGAGGAGTTGATATACTCATATATTTCGCATATTTAGCATGCATTTAGAGTAGTTTTCATGCATACATCTTTCATAATAGGCTAGTTTGCACCATTTATCACATTTTAGGTCCTAGAACACTTTGCATTAGCATTTTGCATATTCCTTGCATTCTTGCATCATATTCAGGTTGTTTTGGATACACTGGAGCTACGGAGGGTGCGTGGACATGCTAAGGATCGAAAGGGAGCCTATGGATACGTGGAGGAACTCAGCCATGCAGCAAAGGAACCGGGATCGAGGCGCAGATCAAGCTAGGCAGGTCGAGTTAGACGAGATCGACCACAAGAGTGAAACACTCGGGTCGTTTCAAGCAAAAGGATCGAGGTCAAGATCGATCAAGGTGATTGAACGTGAGTACGGACACGGGAACTAAGCCCGGGAAGAACGAGGGTCAGATCAAGGCCACGACTCGATCATCCGAGGATCGACCAGAAGATCGATGGAAGCACCGAATCGACCCGAAGATTGAGCGAGAGAAGACGTTCTACGAGAAAGATCGAGTAAGAGATCGACTGCTCAGATCGATCTCGGAACCTTATTCGAACAGCTCATGTTTTGGATTTTAGTAAGGAGACCATTTCCTTTGCCTACCTTATTTTGGGAGCGAGTCATAACAATACATATTGTCTCCTCCTTGTTTTAGTTTTCATCTTATCTTTATGCTTTGAAAAACCGCCATAGTTTAAGTTTTAAGTTTTTGTTATTTTGTAGAACTTTAATCTGTTTTTAATCTAAGTATTTCTCTTAAATCTCGCTTGATTAGTAGTTTAATCATACTTATCTTTCCTTTCTTTGCATTTTGTGTGTTTTAATCATGTATAACGAGTAGTCATTTATGGGTTTAAGGTTAAGGTGATTAGACCAAGTCCAATGATAACATTAAAGGATCTAATAAATGTTCTTAAGATAAGAAAAAATTAACAGAATGAAAAAGAAAAAAAATCTCTCAGTTGTTTTTTCGTCTCTCTCTTTCTCTTTCTCTCTCGCTTCTCCAATCGCCACCATCTTCTCCGCCGTGTTAGATTCCATCTGTACTCTTACTCCCACCATCATCGTGGTCGCCTCCGCTTCAGTAGTCTGGCAATGTTGATCAGCCTCCTAGGGTTTCTCTCCTCCGGGTGAAGGAAAGATGTTTCACTTTCTCTTAATTGGATTTATGATGCTGGTTTTTCTTCTAATTCGCCGGCAATGGAGACCTGCCTTGGTGAAGAGTGAGGAGGTTATTCGGCTCATCGCTTTAGCCACCAAAGAATCTTATGTGGCGGCGCAGGAGGAGGTTCAAGCCACTGTAGATTACGGGTCTCCGGATGCTTATCGTTGCGCTGTTTGTCTCTACCCCAAATCTGTCCGTTACTGGTTCGCTTTCTAAATCCCATCACCAAAGAAAAGTTTTGAAATTACTGCTTCTTTGATCGATGACGTTTGGTTTTTGGGTTTCTCTAGTTCAAGCATGTGTCAAATTCTTCATTGGCGAAGAGGTCACAATGATGAATGTCGATCGCCTTCTCTTCCTGATTACGATGGAGAAGAGGGCAATGGTAAGAACTTTAGATACTCGAGTGTTTAATTCTATAGGTTTCCACAGTTTGATCACTTGAAACAACTCTCTGCAGATGCAGAAGGATCATCAAATATCGAATTGCCATCTCGTGGGACTGAGTTCGGATCATCATCTCTAAATGGCACCAACGACGGGGTGGATAATGATGGATTTGTGGACTGAAGACAGCGGTGCAGAAACTTGTTCAGAATTTTAGACCCCCAAAGACGTTGAACCTATCTCAACCTTACACTTCTATCAATGAGATTGCTACAATATATGATTGCAAGTTCAAATTTTTATTTTGTACCCTTATTCAAGCTACTGCTAATATTCTGTATTGGTGTTGCTGCTTTTGGTGTGCAGATGAGCTTCTTTTATGAAGTGTTTGTGAAACTTTAATGTGATAGAGTAGAATTACGACCATTTGGTCTTGTGAACTTGGGAACAGGTACATGTCGATCGAACTTTAACTTTGCTTGCTTATAGCATATAAGGAAAAGCTTTATTTTTCTTAACACTTTTGTATAGATAGAAGGTGTTGAGAGCTTTTTGTTTACTGTCTCAGGACATTTTATCCAGCATTGCCCAACAAATGGTGACCCTAAATTTGATGTAAAGAGAGTTAAACCACCTACTGGTATCCCAAGTCCATGTTTGGATTGGATTTAACTCAGACATAAAGTCGAAGCAACAAGCTCTTACTCTTGCTCTGGTTAGTTTTCCTCTTTATTTCGCCTTCCAAGTGCTATGTTAGGCTGATATTTAGTATGAATGGGATCAAAACATCACATTCCTTGGTTGTTTCATTTCCTGGACTAGCCCAACAACATATATAAGATTTAAGAATATAGAAAACTCGATGTTGTTATCGAATGCGTCTTCATTTTTCAGTGTTTCTTAGTCCGTTCTACTTGTAAGATTGCAGAAATTCCTAGAGATGAACATTCTGGAGGAAGGTTTAACCGTGATGACTCCTGTATATGTTGTCACAGAAGGCCACGAGCCACCATTATTCACCCATTTCTTTGAGTGGGTTCTTGAAAAGGCAAACGTAAGACTTCTCCTTCCATATCGAAGTCACCTCAAACAGAGCTTCAGGAGATTCCAAAATGTTTTTTTATAGTAGTCTACTGAATTTTATTCAAGTTTTGCGTTTTTGTTTACGTTCACTAAATACAATGCATGGGAACATTGCAGATGCATGGTAATTCATTTGAAAGGAAGCTTGCTAGTCTGAAAGGAAACAAGCCAAGCACTAAGGCAAGTCACAATTAAACTTAATTACTTGGCTTTGCATCAGATGCAAAACTCACACACAAGTCCCTTACTGTGAAAAAACGTTAACTTGGGCTAGCCAGAGGAGGCCGATGTTTTTAATAGCTTTGATTGCAAACTGGCCAAATAAAAGAAATGATCAATGTGTTATAAGAAGCTACAACGTTTGTGCTTTCAGAGACCTAGTGGAAGCCCATGGAGATCACAGTTGAAGGAGAACGTGATTCACGAAGTCGATCTGTGAGCTCGAACAGATCAGAGCAAGGAGTATCACCTTGCTCCAGAGAAACTGTTTCAACTTTGAGATCTGCAGAGGACAAAACAAGCATCAGCAACTCCACCCCAGTTGTCAAAAAGCTTTTCTCAGAGTCTCTTTCAGTGGATACTAATAACGGTAACAACAACGAATATATCAATTTTCTTTACTATTGGATTCCTCAAAACATGTTATAGTTGCAATTAGTCTCTTTGATGCTCGAAGTCTCATATCAAAACACTGATTTACAATATGCAGGAAACTCTAATTCAGACAGTTCTATAGAGAATCCACTGGGAGGAATGAATCTCGATCTTAGTCTAGAGTCATGTGCACATTCATACGAACACATCAGAGAGAGGTAATCCTACAATTCCATATAGTTATGTAGATTTTTTTATGTTTGCAATAAGTTGATTTTTGTTTGTTACAACATCAATTCAAAACATAAGAGACACAGATTTAATTAAGTAAATTGAACCAGTTGTCTAATCTCACACAAACATCATTCTTACTGATTCATTCTCCCCTTTTGGATTGATAAAACCCTATGCTATACTACAACTGATTAGTACAAATTTGGGTAATTGAATCAAGTCCCAAAAAGTCTTGTATCAAAGGTTCGAACCGTTGAAGGGGTACATCTGCCTGGATGAAGAGTGGCGTGAGAAACACTCCGATGTAAGCTGAACTCGTCTTGCACCTCAGAGCATATACCTTGTACTTCACCAAGGAGGATGCTAGTATACACCCGTAGTTAACATCATTCCCAAGGTCATCCATCAGCAGATCGTGGTTCTCTTCCTCGCTGCTGCATAATATCCTCTTGATCCTTTGGAAGAGGAAACACAGCTCGGTCTTTGTCACAGTAGGAGACACGGCCCGCCCGTAGAACGGGATTCCTCACTTTCTTGATTTTAGCCATGTTGGCCTTGTAGTCTTCATCGCAAAGCACGTTCCATATGATGCTAGGGTTCTTGAGAGGAGGAACCTCCACTTGTTTAACCGCGGCGTTTAGTCCATATGCTTGGCAAAGCTCCTCAATGGAGGCAACATCAAAACAACAAGGGTTATACACCTAACTACCCTCCGGGCTTTGCACCTCAACAGCAACAACCGATGCAACAACAAGTTGATCCGGTTCAAGCAATGTTTCAACAGCTAATACAAGGGCAAGCCTCTACAAACCAGAAGTTCGCCGAGATGAACACTCGCCTAGACTCATCTCTCACCGACTTCTCCACTCAGATCACCAACTTAAACAACAAGATCAAGCAGCTGGAGAAAGGGAAAGCAAGTACGAGTGGTCAGAATAGTCTTCCGGGAAAGTGTGAGCAGAATCCCAAGGAGTATGCTAATGCCATAACGTTGAGAAGCGGTAAAGAGCTCGAACCTCCGGTCTCTACAAAGAACAACGAGGACGTTGTAATTCAAGATGGGGAGGGTAAACCTTCGGCTGATGATGATGAGATCAACTTTGACAACGTTTGGATCCAAGGGCCAAGAAGAGGAGACAAAGCAGTTGCTGAGAAGAAAGCTGAGCAAACCACTAAGGAGAAGAATGCTTATGTGCCTCCACCTTATGTACCTAAGCTGCCTTTTCCTGGCCGCTTCAAGAAGCAACTCATAGAGAAGCATAGAATCCTCTTTGAGAAGCATCTTAAGGACGTGGAGATCAAGCTACCTCTCGTTGACTGCCTTGCAATGATGCCTAAATGCGCCAAATTCTTCAAAGACACTCTCATGAAGAAGAATAAGGAAAGCAAGGAGGTACTTGTTCTAAGTGAAGAGTGTAGTGCGGCTATACATAAAGAGATAGTCCCTAAGAAGTTGGGAGACCCTGGAAGCTTCACTATACCCTGCGCTTTAGGTCCTCTAGAGTTCAAGAGTTGCTTATGTGATCTCGGAGCTAGCATAAACCTAATGTCTCACTCCGTGGCTAAGAAGCTTGGTTTTACTCGTTTCAAAGACTGTCGGATCTCATTGGTACTGGCTGATAGGAGTGTGAGGCTACCAGTGGGGCTGCTTGAAGATTTACGGGTGCGAATCAGTGGTGTGAACGTACCTACGGACTTCGTAGTGTTGGAGATGGATGAAGAGCCTAAGGATCCACTCATCTTAGGGAGACCGTTCCTTGCAACCGTCGAGGCTATCATAGATGTGAAAAATGGGAAGATTGCCTTGCATTTGGGAAAGGAGATCATGCTTGACTTCGACATCAACGAGGTTATGAAGAAGCCGACCATTGAAGGGCAAGTTTTCTACATTGAAACGATGGATGCTTTAGCGGATGAGTTGCTGGAAGAGCTGGCTCTAGAAGACCATATGAAGCTAGCACTGACTAAGGAGCCTGGGGAGTTTGGCTATGTGGACCAGAGAACCCAAGAGTACGTGAACCTGCTGGATTCTAGGAGGATTGTTAAGAATGAAGAAGGTTGCTGCTTAGAGATCGACTCCGAGATCGACGCTATCACTCGATCCAGGAGTCAGATCGACAAGGCAATCGAGAACAGAACTCGATCTGGTGCAACAATCGACGGACAGATCGAGAAGAATACTCGATCAGGAAAAGCAATCGAGTTGGCGATCGAGAGAGATCTCCCGATCATTTTGGAGTCCAATCAAGAGATCGACTTAGCGTCTCGATCCTTTACTCGATCCACATCATATCGAGTAAGTGAATCGAGCGAAATGGCTCGATCTAGACGACATCGAGAGGAGAATCGATCGGAGGACTCGATCTCAGAAGGGATAGCGATGGAGGAAAGCAGTCTGAAGGGTCATGGCTCGGGTTCAAAGGAGAGTTCCAAGGAGGAAGGCAACAACAACAGCCACGAGGATGACTGGAGTGAGTTGTTAGCCCCAAAGGTGGACCTTAAGGAGCTCCCAAAAGGGCTAAGGTATGCTTTCTTAGGGCTTAATAACACCTATCCCATGATTGTGAATGAAAACCTTAGTGATGATGAGTTGCACTCGCTCCTGACTGAGCTGAGAAAGTATAGGAAGGCCATTGGGTATTCTTTAAGTGACATCAATGGTCTTTCACCAATTGCACTCATAAGATTCACTTGGATAATGAGAACGCTTCCTCTATAGAACATCAGAGGCGTTTGAATCCTAATTTGAAAGAGGTTGTTAAAAAGGAAATCCTTAAGCTTTTAGAGGCTGACGTGATCTACCCCATAAGTGACAGCACGTGGGTTTCTCATGTACACGTGGTGCCTAAGAAGGGAGGGATCACAGTCATAAGGAATGAAAAGGATGAGCTTATTCCTACTAGAACCATCACTGGTCATAGGATGTGTATTGATTATAGGAAACTCAACTTTGCGACTAGGAAAGACCATTTCTCCTTGCCTTTTATTGATCAAATGCTTGAGAGACTTGCTAATCACCCTTACTACTGTTTTCTCGATGGGTATAGCGGTTTCTTTCAAATCCCTATTCACCCAAATGATCAGGAGAAGACGACCTTCACATGTCCTTACGGTACCTTTGCATATCGAAGGATGCCGTTTGGACTGTGTAATGCACCGGCTACGTTTCAGCGGTGTATGATGTCGATCTTCTCCGATCTTATAGAGGAGATGGTAGAGGTGTTCATGGATGACTTCTCTGTCTATGGTGCGTCCTTTCCTGCGTGTTTGTTGAATCTTTGCAGGGTGCTAAAGCGTTGTGAAGAGACAAACTTGGTGCTGAACTGGGAGAAATGCCACTTTATGGTTAAGGAAGGGATCATGTTTGGTCATAAGATATCAGAGAAGGGTATTGAGGTTGATCAGGCAAAGGTGGAGGTCATGATGGATCTTGAGCCGCCGGTTAATGTTAAGGGAGTCAGAAGCTTCTTGGGACACGCAGGGTTCTGTAGGCGCTTCATCAAAGATTTCTCCAAGATTGCACGCCCTCTTACACGGCTGTTGTGCAAGGAAGCTGAGTTTGTGTTTGATGAGGAGTGTTTGAAAGCTTTCGTGACCATCAAGGAAGCCCTTACATCAGCTCTTATAGTCCAAGCACCAGACTGGTCTCTTCCTTTTGAGATCATGTGTGATGCTAGTGACTACGCCGTAGGAGCCGTTCTTGGTCAGAAGAGAGACAAGAAGCTACACGTGATCTACTATGCTTCAAGAACCTTGGATGACACGCAATCAAGATACACAACTACGGAGAAGGAGTTGCTTTCAGTGGTCTTCACCTTTGAGAAGTTCAGATCGTATCTCGTTGGTTCCAAGGCTATTGTATACACAGATCACGCTGCCTTGCGATACATCTACTCAAAGAAAGACACTAAGCCTCGGCTCTTAAGATGGATTCTCTTACTCCAGGAGTTTGACATGGAGATTAAAGACAAGAAAGGGATAGAAAACGGAGTCACTGACCATCTCTCACGGCTAAGGATCAACGAGTCTCCCCCCTTAGATGACTCTCTTCCAGAAGAGCAGCTTATGGCGATTACTACGGCTGTTTGTAGAAAGCTAGAAGGGAGGTTTGAGGAGGTGTTGAGTTTCAAAGAGGAGGATCTACCGTGGTATGCTGATGTAGTGAACTATCTAGCGTGTGGTGAGGAGCCAACGCATCTCAACAGCTATCACAAGAAGCGGTTTATGAGAGAGGCTAGTGACTACTTTTGGGACGAGCCCTACTTATACAAGAGAGGAGTAGACAGCTTGTACTGGAGATGTGTTACAAAGGAAGAAGCCAGGGACATCCTCTATCATTGTCATGGGTCTTCCTACGGAGGACACTTCGCCTCATTCAAGACTGTCACGAAATTGTTGCAAGCCGGTTTCTGGTGGCCGTCCATTTTTAAAGATGCACACGAGTTTGTGAAGAGCTGTGAGGCATGTCAACGAGCAGGGAATATCACTAAGAGGAACGAAATGCCTCAAGTTCCCATCTTCGAGGTTGACATGTTCGGCGCGTGGGGGATAGACTTCATGGGGCCATTTCCTTCTTCATACGGCAACAAATACATCTTAGTAGCAGTGGATTATGTCTCTAAATGGGTTGAGGCTGTTGTTTCTCCTACAAATGATTCTAAAGTGGTAATTAAGCTGTTCAAGACTATCATCTTCCCGAGGTTTGGGGTACCCAAGGTTGTTATAAGCGATGGAGGAAGCCACTTCATAAATAAGGTCTTTGAGAACCTCTTGAGAAAGTATGGAGTTAAGCATAAGGTGGCTACACCGTATCATCCTTAAACAAGCAGTCAAGTGGAAGTTTCTAACAGGCAAATCAAGGCTATACTAGAGAAGACCGTCGGAGCAACAAGGAAAGATTGGGCAGTGAAGCTGGACGACGCTCTTTGGGCCTACCGTACCGCCTTCAAGACGCCGATTGGTACAACTCTTTTTACTCTACT